CTCTGGAACCGGAGACGCAGACTTCACCAACTGCTGCACTTCACTTTCCAGACGCGCAGCATTAAAAAAGCTCCGTCACAAACCGCCAGCTAAATGTCGGCTTGCAGAGACCGACGACCACGATAAGCAGAGCTCTCTCGGAGAATGCCAGGGTGCACATTTAGGAGTTAGTTGCAGCGTTCAGAGCTTAAATGGACAAATTTGGACTCAGCAGCAGCTTCACCTGCTGCTGCTGAGTCCAATCCTGCTGTAATTTGGGTTTCTTGGCCTGACTGGAGTTAACAGAACACAGAGTTCATAAAACAATAAAGCACCAGAGGTACAGAGATACTGAAGTCTGGGATGAGGGTTACTCTTTGTTTTGTTTTTGTTGTTGTTGCCACACCTATTCATTATTTGGTCCCTAAACTGTCTCCATATCCAGCTTGAAATCAGCGACTGTCTGAACAAACAATGGCTTTCTCTTCCAAAGGAAAACAGGAAGCGACTCTTGTCTCCATCTCTGTTTAACAGAAGCAAAAATCTGCTTTTAGAAACTAAAGGTGCACAACTTGAGACCCAACAGAGTCCCTAAATGTTTAATTTACTTTCACCAGAGGCCCGATGACGCAAATCCACTATTTTTATGGTACTTTTATGAGTCATTATGGATGGTGATGCTGTGGGCCGGTAGCAGTCAGTCTTGCATCAAATCTCTAGAGGCCTCTGACTGAAGACTGTCAGTCAGCTCAATTTCTGGGCAGTAGAAACTATTTTCCACAGTAACTTGTCCTGGATGACACCATCAGCTGTTTTTATCAAGCACTGCTGATCCACCTCATTTGATTTTGCTGCTCCTCTTTATGCCTCTCTCTGGCTGCGTGGTGGCTGTTCAGTTTTAGCTTTTGAGATGCTAATTCAGATGCTTCCAGTTGTCAAAATATAATCTTGTTGCCAAGGTTACGCATCATGATGACTGCCTTAAAGTAAAAAAAAAGTGTGCATCCAAAACCAGAGGGAATAATTGTCCAAACATGCAATAATTCAACAACAGCAACAAAAATTATAAATTAAGGTTCATAAAAAAACAGGAATACAGTGACAGAGCTATTTAAGCTTTTCAGATTGACTTAACAATGTTCTTTTGTCCATCTCTCAGCTTCCTGCCAGATCTGAAAACACAAAACAGTGCGGTCAATAAGAAAACCACATGGATTTACTGCTCTGGTGTATCAATCTAAACCAAATAAACGTTTTTTTCCTCCAAGTTTTCATGACTGTGTCCTTCACAGCAGCTGAAAGATAACCGACTGAGAGATGGACAAACACCTTAAAATCTATCGATTTGTTTTTATGCTTTCTAACCCATAATCCCTGTATTAAAGAGTCATTAAAACATAAAGAAGCAGAATATTGCTAAACAGGTTGTAGCTTTAGAAGAAGTGGAGGTTTCTTGGCAGGGCGTCTGATTTGTGAGAAAGTCATTTCCTGGGGAAAAAACTCCTGGCTGAAACTCTTCATCCTGTTTAACTGGATCTCCTCCTCTCCGCCCGTTTCCTCGCCTGCTCTGTTTGCCCCCCCTCCTCTTCCTCCTTCTCCTCCTCCTCCTCCTCTTCGCTCCAGCTTTGTGTTTTCATAGGGTGGTCCTCCTCTTAATCCTCACTGGATCTTATTACAAGCATGCCTAAAATAAGCAACAAGGACCAAAATATTATTCCTCACAGATCTTCAGAGATGTTTGGAGGATGATAGATTGCGCCGCCTGACTTCCTGTTATCGTCTCCTTGTTGGTTTTTACCCTCCCTGCTCATCAGAGGCCATCTGATGCTTGTCGACGGGACAAATGTTTCCCATCTCAGACAGACGACGTCTGCCTTCATCACCACACCCCCTCTCCCCTCCTCATCACATCTGCTTCTCCTTTTTCTTCTCACACAGAGAGCTGTCATTCTCATCTCCCAGCATCCTCCACGCTCTTTTCCTACGCTTTCCACCTCGTCTCTCAGTCGATCCAGGCTTCCCCCGGGGGTTTTAGCTTGCTCCTTTTGCTTTTTCTCCCACATGTCACAAGATATCAGTTTCCCCCCAGCTGGCTCAAACCTCTGGGATCTGGAGGAATCTTGAAACTTTTAAAAGATTATTTCTCAGGTTGCAACAGCCGGCACTGGCATTAAGTCGTCTCTCAGTGCGTATAAGTGAATCGGCAGGCTGGACGAAACCTAATCCCAGAAATCTTGAGGATGTGAAGAGCTGGGTTTTTTGTTTCCTTCTGAATTTTTCTGCCTAATAGAAAATATCACAGCAAGAATACTTTGTCAAAGCACACTGTACCTTTTAGCAAAGTATAACTTGAATTCAGGATAGTTTATGTATGTGTCTAGAAAACTGAAAATGCATAACGAGAAATAGTACTGAGTCAAAAAGGTGCAATAATCTTTTATATTGAACAGTGTCTTGCAAAAGTATTCATTTTCTTTGAACTTCTTTCATTTTTTCAGGTTCCAATCTCAAATTTCATTGTATTTCACTAGGATTGTATGTGATAAACCAAAACCAATAAGCAGTCTGTCACTTAGAGGGGACCTATTAAGAGATTTTAGTCTGCTTAATTCTGTTTTGGGGGCTCTTGTCACTTTAAATCCACATACACAGCTGCACACACATGACAATGGCTGCAAACACATGCCTACTTATATAATATTTCATCTTTAAAAAGCAGAAGTGGAGCCTCCCACACAGCCAAGAAAGCAGCAAGTGGTTTCTGGGTGGTAAGTCAACAACAAAACACTTGTCTTTTCCAGCAGCCATTGTACAGAGGTAAAACCTGCTCAATTTGGGTTGCTAGGTAACAATGTAGGGAAATTACTCATTTTCTAAATACCAAAAAAAAAGTCTGGGAGTTATTTTCGTAAGTGGTTGTTTTTGATGCTGTTGAGACTCAAATGGAAGTATAAAAATGAGCAGAAAATAAATTTTGCATAATAGATCGACATGTAAAAGACAATGTGTGGCAGAAACTAACACCATGAACTCACCTTAACCTGATTGAAACATGCTGGTGGCATCATGCTGCTTTTTATTCAGGAGGCACCGATGAGTTGGACAGAGAAAGTTCTGCTTCATCTGGTGTTGATCTGCCATTAAAAAAATCTCAATAAAATACATTGCAGTTTGTGGTTGTGACATGACAAAATGTGTAAAGGTTTACCTGGTATGAATACTTTTGAAAGTATAGTAAGTAAGTATACCATATAACCATAGGTGAAGAGAAGATGTTTTTTGTCAAAAAGTTATATGACCTCCTGTGTAATACTGAGGGTATCATGTTTAAAGAGCAGGTTAAAGGTCATGGACAATGTCTGGTGATTGATTTAAAGAGTCACTTCATTCCCAGAGAGGAGATAAAATCACCAGTTCAGACACAGAGAGAGTTCTTACACTAAACAAATGAGAAGAAAAGAGAAAGAAACACAAGGGCAAAACAAAACCCATTTTTAGATGAGACCATGAGCCCAACCACACACAAACAGAGCGGTGTGGGAAGTCACAGCGGTTTATTATTGGAGGCCTCAGCCTGACATGAGAATGTGATTCTTCAGCACTTTGCCTCCTGTGATAACCTCAGAGTGAGTCGCTGTTCAGAAGTATCTTCTGTTGTTTGGACGGCTACATTTTAACAAAATAGAAAGTTTTTGTACACAGCAACAATAACTTTGTATGGTGTTACATTTTAGCCATTAAAAGTGTTTGAATTGTGATTAACTGTATTAATTTGTAAATGTAATGTTCAATAATTGCTCAATTTTATCAATCTTTACTGTCTTTGTGAGAAGTTAGCTGAAGATGTTTTTGTTAGTTGTTAGCTCTGCTCCTTTGTTCTGTAGAGAACTTTAAGTCTGAAATGTTCAAGCAGGTTATGTTCTGAATGAATATTCAAACTTTATAAAAGTTGAGAACTGTTATATAAGCAGTTATAGTTTAGAAAGTTTTCGTTTTTTAGCAAGATTTGAAGTTTGAATTGAACTTTTTCAAGCTCAGTGAAAGCGCTAATGCTAAGGTTAATTCTTTCTAGCAAAGGTTAATGAAAACCACATCGTAGCTGTGTTTGTCAGGGAAAATGTTTACATGCCACCTTCTTTGAAAATATATTAAACAGCTTGTTGCCATTTCAGCAACACTTTATGCCTAAAAGAAATCCAAAAATAACAAAACTTGTTCTCTCTCTGCAAAAACAACATGCTGAATACATGGTTGTATTCTGGCTTTACTGAGTCTGTTATGTGATTTCATTTTATTAATAAAATATAAATGGACAAATATTGCCTGTTGTGTCACTCAGCATGAACCAGAATAGTTAGAATGTAATAATTATTTTCATTATTTTACAAATTAATTGTAATAAAATACAGCAGTGTATATAAAATTGACTTTTTGAATTTTGCATCATGTTATAAAGTAATTTCCTCATCAAAAACATACCTGGAGTGTTGCCTTGATTCTTTCATGCATGTTTGAGTAATCGTTTTATCTCCACAGCAACCACTGAGTTGTGCAAAACAGCTGGTTGGATCTAGCTCCACCTTCAAGACACGGCTCAGTTTCCAAGCTTCAGATCTTCTGCTTCACAGAGCAGCCCTCCCCTGCGTCTCCCCCACTCAGCTCCTTCAGACTAGCCAGCAGCAATTAGCAACCAACTGGTGGAACTGTGCAACTAATAGCTACTTTTGAGTGTAACTCTGGTAAAAATGTGGTTATAGGGTCAATAAGGGTTGTGATGACTTCCTGAAAGCGTAGTTTCAGAACAAGCAGATGTTTTTTTAAAGAGACAGACGAAATTTCAAGAATTACTTGATTGTGCTATAAAATGACACTCTATATTTAAATATATATATATATATATATATGGCAGGAAAACGCATAACACTGCCCCTTTAACATTCAAACCTATCCTTCATTAATATGCAGTCACTGAGGTTTCATAGGGTCCACCCTCCACCACCCTACACCACCTCTTCCTCCTCCTCTGCCTCCTTCTCCTCTTCTCTTCTTTCCATCCTCTTCCAGCTTGTCAGCAGCAGCAGCAGCAGCGGAGTTGCTCTACTGCGGCTCTGCTTCAGTGTAAAGTTCGGGTCCTATCAGAAACTCGCGGCTCAGACCGCAAACCCAGCAGGAGGACAAAGATAAGACATGGGGAAGTGATCACAGCGTGGAGAGTCACGATCCGAGCTATTTAAGGTAGGACTGAACAGAAACTGATTGTAATTTCAGAGGTTAAAGAGTCATCTGCAGGATGTTGTGCAGGAAGAGTTTGCCTTTATTCTGCAAAAACATGCTCGAGTCCATCTGTGTGCATAAATAACAGAGCAACGAAATCAGTAGCAGCTAAGACCAAACTGTCAATCATGCTAATGCTAGTTTTTAAAAATTCTGTGGGAAAATTGACCTTTATTCCACAACCTCAGACTAAGCTGCACCACAAACAAGCAGCAATAAATTGTGTGGTTTTAGTGTTACAATGTTAAGTCTTATTTTTGGAACATCACATTAATCTTGATTGTGATTCTTGTTTTATGAAATTACAACAGGACTAGGTCCTGTTGTAATATGAGATGCAATGCATCTGACGCATTGCAAAACTGAATCAGATGGGATAACTGACTGGCTTATTGCCAGTCAGTATGGTATTAGATGTAGAAATCTACAACCAGGCAGCGCACTTTTCTCCATTGGAACCACACACACACACACACACACACACACACACACACACACACACACACACACACACACACACACACACACACACACACACACACACACACACACACACACGTCTGCGTGGCTATCTTTGTGGGGACTTTCCATTGACTTCCATTCATTTCTACAGCCTAAACCTTACCCTTACCCTTATCCTAACCCTAACCAAAACTCAATTCACATATTAGTCCTAAATCTTACCCCTGATCCCAAAACAGCTTTCACCCTTTTTGGGACCAGGCTTCAGTCCCCACAAGGAGCACTGGGTCCCCACAACGTGGTACATGTCAGGGAAATGGTCCCCAAAAGGTATTAAAAAACACACACACACGCACAAGATCCTTACAGCTATGGATAGCTAACCTGGCCACAATTCTGCTTTTGAGTTTGAGATAAAAACATTAATTTATCTAAACTTCTGAAGCACCACTGATATGATGTTATAAATAATTCAATTCAACTTCACATTCAAGTGTGCTCCTGTTAGTGTTGTGTGTAAGCTGCTGCTTATTGGACAAATACCAATAAATGAGAAGCCAGTGGAGGTGAACAGAGGAAAACAAGGTGATAAGAAAACAGAAAATTAGAATAGAAGAACTAAATCCAGGATGAATTATGAGAAGTTAATTAAGAAATGTTGCAGGAAGCAAAATACATAAACGAGGGCACAATGAACAGAAAACCCATAAATTGTAATTAATAAACATCAGGTAAAGGATACGCTCAAGCAGGTAAATATCTGTCTGTGTTTTTTAGAACTATTTTACCAAGATGTCAATAAAATATAAGAGCTGACATCAAGATATGCTGCCTCACTTTGTGTCTGATTTAAATCCCGGCCAGAGTCTCCCCATGCATTTCTCTGGGTACTCCCAGCTTTATTCTCATCCCATTAGTTAACTATAGGATATAGGTCTGATGACCAAAAAAAAAGGGTTGATTTAGTGTCAGATTACCAAAGTCTAACATTTTGGATAATTGTCCCACTTGAAGACCTAATAAAGAGTCATTTTCTGTTTTACTGGCTGAATCACCGGATTCTTAAATTGAGAATCTCCTGGTGTTTTTTAAAGAGTTCGTAACGCTGAGCGCTCCAACAAAGATCTGCACCGACAAGAAACATAGATGGCAGATAAGACGAAGATTTCCACATGTGCATCATTTGTTTCAATGTTATTTGCAAAAAAAAGAGATTAATCTTAGTCACTGCAGTATGTAGCAAATCCATGCGTTTGTTTGTGACAGAAAAAATATTTTTTAATTACTCCCAGATAAACCGGTTGGCATGTAGGTAGCGTCTAATCACTCTTTGCCTCCTCCTGTCTTGTTTTTCATACTTCCAGTTGATTTAGACATCCAAATAGTTTCCGAGTGTGGATATTAGTGAGTTTTCTTCTCTCCATTTTAAGATTAAAGATTAATTCAACTATATATTTGCTTCAATGTCACGTTCTCCTGTGTCAATTATGAATAGTGACCAAGAAGAAAGGATAGATTTTTATACATTTCCCTCCAAAATACAGTCTTAAACTTCAGCGTTGCATAATATACCCAAAACAGCTACATAGTTAAAACTTATGTAAGACGAATTTATCACAAAAGTAAAAAAGTACTTAACAGAATAAGTATATTTGAACTTTATCTAAACTGTATTAAAAAATGCTTTAATGTTCTTTAATTCAAAACAGTCCAGTTCAAGTGCAGCCTTTAATTCTTCCATCTGACAGTCCAACGTTTTGGCACAATATGTCGCCTATACTGCACAAGTTCGATGCATATCTGTTGCTTTTGGGCGTAGACTTTACAAAAACCCTTTTGAAGATCCAGGTTTATCTTTGCTGCACCTCTCGTGTTTGCAGGTGGAAGTTTAGACAAGCTCTTTGTTCTGCTGCGCTTTTAAAAGAGCTTAGAAATGTTTGCACTTCACTCATGTTTGACCTTTTTCCCCCCTTGTGGTTTGTTGACCGACCCCCTCATGCATTAAGAAGAAGAGCTTATGAAACCAGCGAACGATTGCACAGCTATGAGCCTCCCTGTAAAGTCCGACATGTTTGTTTTTCTTTCCCGCTCTGCTTTCTTTACAGTACGATAAGATAAATCACCATGGGAGTCTAGAGAATTTTTTTTTTTTACCTTTTTGTCTCATGAAATATTTTGTTGACTCAGCAGACCATCAAGAAAAGCGCGAAAGAGAGGAAACAGGAAGTTCATTTACAGTGCCAGTTCCGATCCGACACAGGTGTCAATTCACTTTTCGGTGCTTTGCAGCTTGAAGCAGGTGTTGCTCCGGATATAGAGATTGATATCTGAAATTTGTCACAGGCGCAGCGATTTGAAAAACGCTTTATACCTATTGAACTTTTCATATTTTGTCACATTATGCCAAGTTCATTATAGGAGATACTTAGAGCAACACTAGTAAAAATATTGTTAAAGGTTTAACAGAGGAGCTGTGATGTGATGACTTCCTGAAGGCGAAGCTTCAGAAAGATCAGGAGCTTCTTAAAGAGAAAAAGGCCAAATTTCAAGGCATTCAAATTTCTTTTAAGTCATTTTTATATAGATTTTTATAACACCTGAAGGTAACATACCCACTTGATTGTGCAATAAAATGATACTATGTGGCTGGAAAACACATAACACGGCCCCTTTAGGAGACACTCCCCATAAAATCTGTCTGAACAAAAGGCATAAATTTCAACCTCTGTAATGGTAGAGATATTTAAATATATCCAGTCTGGAGCCATATGTCAAGTGTTTTTATAAACCTGAGGCCGGACAGAAAAATGCATCGCCACGTCGGAGCAGCGGATCCCTATAAACTGATGTATTTTTGAGCTCTGCATAACGGTCAGAGCCATTCTGACCTCAACCACAGCTAGCTGGTGCCATGCCTCCAGTCGGACCAGAGCAAACTGGGCCGGAGCTGGCCGACGGTGACCTGCGTCTGTTTGTGCGGTCCTCACTGAGATGCCTGGGCAAACCCACAAATATCAACAGCGCTCTGTTCTGGTTCTGTAGCGGCGGATGTGCTTAAAGCAGTAAGTCCGTTTGCAGCGGAAGAAAAACGCATGAAAAGGGAAGTATGTTTGACTCTGTGTGTGTGTGTGTGTGTGTGGCTGAGAGGAAGACAGAAACAAATGACAGCAAGTCTGATTTAAGTGACAGATAAAAAGAAAATAAAAGGAAGTAGAAACACATGTTAGAAGGTAGAAATGTCAGATAATTTATTTGCATGCCTACCCATCATGGCCTCCGACCTCCATGTCTGCTCTGAGGCTTGTTTACGGGACGCCTGCAGGTACAGTTTGGAGATAAACACCATGTCTGACAGGCCTTAATGACTTTCTCTCTGTTTCTAACAGGGCCAATTTGGGGAATGAAGTTCCCAAAGTGAATTAATGTGCTGGTTCTGCAGCTTAACGGAGCACTTATGGTTAAGCTTTATTGCACACAAAATGACCTGGGAAGGAGAAAAGTCACATGAAGAGCTGAAATGAGGGGAGAGGAATTTGGAACGGAGAGTAGAAAGTGAGAACCAGTCAATTAAGTTTTTAAAAAAATCTGTGAATTACAAGTTATATTCTCTTAAATGTAGCTTAAAAATGTACTCCAAAGGAAATAGAAAACCTGTTTTCTTGTTGGAGTGTAAATAAATCCTTAGAGGCGAGGAAGCTTACTGTTCCAGTTAACTTGTGTTTTCTAACCACATAGTGCATTTTATAGCGCCATCATGTAACTATGTTAACTGCAGTTTCTATAAAAATGCTGTGCAGATAAAATATGACTTAAAGAAATTTGACATTGAGCCTCTGTCTCTTTAAAATCTCCTGCTTTTTCTGAAATTCTGTCTTCAGAAAGTCATCACAACATAACTCCTGTATTATTTCGTTAGCAACATTTTTCCCAGCATTTCAGTGAGAAGTAGCTCCTATAATGAACTCAGCTGATGCTCAGTTCCACCAAGTGTTTGCTAATTACTGCTGGCTAGTCTGAAGGAGCGGAGTGGGGGAGTTGCAGGGGAGAGCTGCTCTGTAAGGCAAAAGCCTGAAAACTGCAGCTCTGAGGAAGAGCTTTGTCCTTGAAGGCGGGGCTAGGTCCCCCCAGGCATTTTGCCAAGCTGAATGGTTGCCATGGGAGATTACAGGATTTCTTCAATATTCATGTAATGATCAAAAACACACTTCAGGTATGTTTTTGATGAAGGAACATTAATACAACACGATGTAAAATTCAAAAAAGTAAATTTCATATAATACTGTCCCTTTAAAATAATTTCAGTTGAAAATGTTCATAGTGATTGAACACTATGTCAGTCTACAATTTTAATTATTTGTTATGTTTGGTATCGTTTAGTTCGGATGAATAATGTCTGGGTTTCCATAGATTCACCTCTAGTTCCTTTGTGTCCCTGATACGCGGCATTTCAATCCTCCAGATCAGCTGGGACTCATCAGTCTGACTTCGCTCAGTCAACAACACTGTAAACTCCTGATTTTTATGACAGACTGAAGGTTGAACGTTCCTGTGCTTTCCAGGCCTCATAGTTGGAAAGATATTTCCGACAGTCAGTCGATCAGCCAAACTGACTGATGAGGTGATTGATGCAGCACATTAGCTTCAGAGCGTCCCTGAACTCTGAGGATGGATTTATCTTTTCAATCAGCTCATGGTGACGTGAGGTCCACTTCTGCAGCTGTAGCCAGAAGATCAGGTTTAAAGACGACTAACTTTTTTGTAGGTATATAATTTTTTAGTTATAATCAGCACAGATGCTTTTCGTTCCCCCCCAAACCTCAATGGGAAATATCAATAATTGATTATCTTTCACTGCATTTCTCCTTATTTCATGGTGGAAAATTAAGGCTCATGGTTACAAAGTGGGATTAAAATAGGGGAGAAAATTATAGTAGGCTACACAGAATTAAATGTAACAGTGGGTATTGTAAGGAACCACCATTCAAACTAGATAATTCATCCTGTAAAATCAAATAACTACCACAGATAAACCACAAACAACATTATCATAATCTTAACTCTTTAAATTGTCATATATTTAAGTTGCACAGATATACAAATCCTGCTTAAATACAAAGGAAACACTGAGCATGTGGTCTTACAACAACAACGGCTATTGGCAGCTTGACATTACAACGAACCAATCACAGCAAACATTACTCAGACGACGTCCTGAGCTCTTAAATTGAGCTAATATAACACAGTTATATCAGTCCATTTTCAATAATAATTAAAAAAAGATTTTTGTCGAAAAGTTAACATAACAATTTCCTTGATAGATGAATCCTGCACCAAACTACAGCAAAAGAACTGAAGTAGAAAAATAAATTAAAAAAAGCCAGGGGCAAGATATAAAAGGTACACATTTTTTTTCGCATTTTCTGTTAAACTATCTGTTGATAGTTTTCTCTCCGACAACAGTGAACTCAGCTTTAAAAAAAAGTTATTTAAATGCGTCTCTCTTGGAGTTAAACATAAAAGTTCTTCAAAATAAAACAACAATTTCTCCGAAAACCCCCCAGCTAGACTGAAGCAGGAAGGGCAGCATACACAACGCACACAAATAAGAAATATACCGTTCTTCAAAATAAGAGCATAAAATTCTAACCACCATACAACTCTCAGCCATTTATAGAATCCCCAAATGTCAATTTTATTTAATGAGGCAGCTGGATGATATGTTTGGTACAAATCGTCAACTTAGTGCTAAACTTAGAAACCAGAAAGATATGATGAGGAAAAGAGTCTCAGAGAGAAACCAAAGGAAGAACTCAATGTTTTCTGTTAAAGTTCAGACGGATACACAAGAACGCCCACAGCAGAAAACCGTCCATTATCGATCTGTTTTGGTACAAACGGAGATGGACAAAGAGGAAACCAGCCATCGGTTACAATCAGACTGTCGAACGATTTCGACGCAAACGGAAATCGATGTGCTGGAAACCTTGAAACCAGTCAGCCGAACGATTTCAACTCAGATGGAGATCGATGTGCTGGAAACCAGCTATAGATTAGAACCAGTCCATCTAACAGTTGAATTGGAAACAGTCTGTAAAGAAGATTCTGAACCAAACAGTGAAGTACAAAAAGGTCCAGTACCGGAAACAGTTGAGGTTCAGACAGCCTCCCTGAAAGATGAGAGTCATGGAAAAGAAACAGAGATCGCTACATTACAGCAGATCAGTGAGGAAGAAGCTGTTTCTGTAAACCAACCAGATGGGGACCAGCAAGACAAGAAAAAACCATCGAGGAAAGCTAAATGGAGGATCAAGAGAAAGGCAGCAATTAAAGCTGCCTCTGAATTAAAAAACCTCAACAAGGATGTTTCAGGAAAAAACAGTGAAGAAGCTTCTGTACCAGATGAGGATGAAACACCCAGAGTCAAAAATGACATTAATATCACTGAACCAATGATTTCTAGCCCCAAAAATGTCTCAGAAGAGCCAATGATCTCCGAAAGCCAAGAAAATGGGGATCATGAAGTTAAAAAAAGATCACCAAAGAAAAATAAGAATAAGAATAAGAATAAGAATAAGAGAAAGGCAGCATTGAAAGCTCTCTCTGGATGGGAAACGGCCAAAAATGACAACATTTGTGCAGAAAAGATTGAAGAGAAAGTTTCAGTCCCAGAAATAGTCAGCGATCAGACAGCCACCATCATATCTGAGATTCGTAAAACAGAAACAGCGATTGTTAAACCAGAGCTGGCAACTGAACATGAAATCGCTAAAATAGAGCAAAGTGAGTTCCAGCAGGATGAAGAAAATAATGAGACATCAATACCTGATTCAGAAACGATACCAGAGATCCTCGAGATAATTTCTGAACAGATAGAGACCAAACTTTGCTCTATTCCAGAAGACGTCACTGGTGAGTTTCCAGTAGTTATCGCAGAAGTGGAGAGCGGCCTGCTGGAAGAACAAAGGACACCACCTCCACAGATGAAGGAAGATGAGATCCAAACAACATCCCAGAAATCAGAACCTCTAGCAGCCAAAGAGTCAGCTGAACAAAAGTCGGAACAAGAAGAGAGTCCCAGGAAGAGGATCTCACTGTGGAGGAGAATTAAAAAGGCTTTAACGCCAAAATCTATATGTGCCCATTCAAAGATAGGCGTTAACAGTGCAGACATCAATATATGTCTCAACTAAATTCGATTTAAAAGGGGGGTGGGGCCACGTGTGTTTTGGGTAATTGGCGGGAATTGGAAAAAGAGCTGCTGTTATTGCTAATTGGACATATTAATATAAAAAAGACAGGACTGCACAATGGGAAATGTCTCCCCCTGTAGGTGTGGGTTCACTCCGGGTGCGTCGGCTTCCCAACATTCAACATGTTCATCCTTTGTAAAATTTGTACTTCTAATTCTAAACAGAAAATAAGACAATCACATTTATTAATTAAAGGGATATTTAGGGAAAAAAATTAAACAACATGGAACAAAAAGAGCATTTTAGAAGTCTAACCTATACAAATTGGGGAAAAAAAATTGCAAACTATCTTTCTGGGCAAAAGATATATATATCTATATCTAAATTGTTCTATATAGCTATAGATATATCTCTATATATAGAGAGAGATATATATTTATCTATATAGATATAGATATCTAAATCTATCTCTCTATATATAAATATATATAAATCAATATATAGATATATTATATATCTACATATCGATATCAATCTATCTATATATATCTCTCTCTATATATAGAGATATATCTATAGCTATATAG